AAATCAATGATGAAGGCAACTTTCGACGAAAACAGGAATAAAAATTAAAATTTTGAGAACTAATAGAGGTGAGGAATATAAGTCTAAAAAATTTAAAATTTATTATATTTAGCATGGAATTAAAAGGCATCAAATAATGCCACATACATCACAACAGAATGGTGTTGTTGAAAGAAGAAATAGAACATTACTGAATATAGTTAAATGCATGTTGTTACATTCGGATCTCCCAAAATTTTTTGGGGAGAAACATGGTTGGCTGCAAACTATATTTTGAATAGAATTCCCACCAAGTTAATTGTATCTACACCTTATGAGTTATAGAACGAGAGAATATCTAATCTGAGTCATCCGAGAAAATAGGGATCTATGGCTCATGCTCTCATTCCCCTACCAACTTAGAGATAAGTTGGTGTAGATCCATAAATATTCAGAAAAGTTAAAAAGTTATAAGTTCTACAACAACAAAAATGGGTCACAACAGAGATGATACATTTCTAGAGAATGTAGACGAAGAGGAACAAGTTCAAGAGGAAATAAAACCTCTAACAATAATAGATGATGATTATTATAGTGTTGTTCCCACTAATGATGCATATATTATGAATGAAACCTAACCTTGAAAATGATGAAATGCTTATGTAAAATAATGTATCTCATGATCTGGTTGTAGCAACAAAAGCCAAAGAACACAACTTTCATAAAAGTACAACCAAATATAGAAAATTTTGGAAGTTAGTATTTAAAACTGCAAGGTGGAATATCCAATTTGGAAGATTTCGGGATAAAATTAACAAATATATCAAGAAAAATTTGCAAATATGGTAATTTTTTAAGCATATATGAAAAAAAACAAATATTACTAATGAACAATCAACCGATGCGACCTTGGCGGATCCCATCTGGACAAAATGAAAAAAAACAAATATTACTAATGAACAATCAACCGATGCGACCTTGGCGGATCCCATCTGGACAAAATGTGAAGTCCGCTAAGGGATTGTTTGGTTGTTGTTGATAAAATTGTGTATTTATGACACAACTTAGAAAGTTGTTGTCCACCTCATCAATTTCAATTGTATACTTTTCTTTATTTGTTTTTGATTCCATTGGAATCATAAATTGCTTGTTTGGTTTGCAAATATAACTTTAATTGTTTATTTGAAAAGTGTAAAAAGTGGTCCCTACTCAAATGATCATATTGGTTAGAATTATTTTTTATTATTTTTTTCTGACTTCAATGTCAGCTTTCTACTAAAATCATGTGTTTTTTATGAAATCACTTTACAAGCCACATCAACATATGAAATCACTTTACACTATTTTCACAACTATAAACAAACAATTGAAATTGATGAAAGCTGACATTGGGACCTGCTTTTTTACACTTTCCATCCTTTTATATGGTAAAAACATACAACCAAACAGCCCCTAACCAAACTTCTAGGAGAGATATTATTGATTGCATTTACTTTGGTCGCTGAGCAACTAAAGAATTTAAAGAAGCTATAAAAGAGCACGAGTCACATATTTGAAGAAGCTAGAGGAGCACGGAGATCATTCGCAAATTATTATCCCACGTGTGGGTCCGATTTACGCCTTCCCTAAAATCAGACGCAATGATTTTCTACCTCCCAATTTTCAAGGAAAATGATAGGGGCACACCCCCAACCACACCTCCAACCACACCCCCTCTCTCATTTGATACAGTGCACCGGGCCCCACTTGGAATTTTAAAATTTTAAAATCTCATGTGAGACCCGGTACACTGTAGCTAATGAGAGAGGGGGTGTGGTTGGAGGTGTGGTTGGGAGTGTGCCCCTAGTGTCACCTAATTTTCAATGGTCAGTAATACAACCCCTAATTAATTGATTAGACAGGGAGATCAGGAATAGAAGGAAGCACACGCTGCACGTGCACCTTATCATCAGATACTTCATACATATCCCTAAAGCAACATAGTATAAACTCCAAATTCTGATGAAACTTGAATTAATTTCTTTTGTCAGATTTAACTAACTTCTGACGTAAGACGTTTAATCTGAGTTGGAGTCTATTTAGATTAGGAAATATAGATTAGGAAATAAATTCAATTTTAGAGTCAAATTAGATTAGGAAACAAAATCAATTTTGATTCATGATTTGTTTCCTCTATTATAAGGAGTTTTTTTAGGATAGAATTTGACACATTCTTTTTTTTGTAATTCTAGTCTTACTAGGAGTCTTATTTGATACTTTCTATTTTTTTAATTCTAGTTTTACTAGAAGTCTTATTTTTTTTCTATTTAAGAAGAGTCATGTAACCCTAAAGAAGAATAACTTTTCATCAATAAAATTTCTCTTTTTCAATATTTTCTTTGAGGATTCGAAGTTCTTCGTGGATTCGAAGATTGTTCTTTGTGGATTCAAAGAACATCCTTGGTGGATTCCGAGGCTACAACTTTTGTGCTACGTCAATTGGTATCAGAGCCTTATTCCTCCGATCCGATGGTAGGTGATGAAGCCCCTATTCCTCAAACTGAGTTCGACGTGCTGAGGTCCGACGTAGATTAGCTGAAGACCAATGGTGATCAGATGAGGGCTGCCATAGAGCGACTTACGATGACGGTAGAGCGTCTGAACACGACAGGAGTTCAAAATCACGTTGATGGTCGTCAACGACGTGATCTGACTCCATATGATAAATTCAACAAGGACAATAATCTTAAGCAAGACATTAGAGTTGGAAAGAACAATGAAGAAGTAATAAAGAAAGAAGAACCACCTCCAGAGCACAATATCTTTCGTACGAGATGTACTGTGATGCAGAAGATTTGTAATGTTATTATTGACAGTCACAGTGGAAGGAATCTTATCTCTCGGCTGTACTGTGATGCAGAAGATTTGTAATGTTATTATTGACAGTCACAGTGGAAGGAATCTTATCTCTCGGCGTATGGTGAATAAGTTAGGTTTGAAGACAGAGAAACACACACCTCTCGTTAAGATTGACTGGATTCACAAAGGCAATGATGTGCAGAACGATGAAGTGTGTCGAGTATCTTTTTCTATCGGTCGAACTTATGTTGATGAGGTTTTGTGTGATGTTGTCGAGATGAATACTTGTCATATGTATTTAGGTAGCCCATGACAATTCAATAATGGAGCTACTCATAGGAGCAGAGACAATGTTTATATCTTCAAGAAAGATGGACGACGAATTGTGCTCAAGCCTCTTACAGAAAAGGTGTCATCTAAGATAAAGACTATTGAGAAGAAGGAACTCTTGGTGACAAACAACGATGCTTTAACAAAAAACTTAAAGCAATCTGAAAAGGTCTGTGACTTGGTTGTAACTGAAAAAGAAGAACTTGTCTCTACCGAAATTCCTCCTAAGGTGCAAACACTCGATATGCATGAAATGCATGATGGTGATATGATAGTGAAGATGGATGATATGCATGATATTCTTAAAGTGGTTGAGAGTGATATTCAACATATTATGCATGATATTCTTAAAGTGGTTGAGAGTGATATTCAACATATTGATGTTGTCCCGATAGAGGAGAAGAATAAAATAAAGGGTGAGACAATTGATGGTATGTGTGAATTGTTTGGTGGAGGGCTCGAGGCAAAGAAGATGAAAGAATTATGTATGGAGTATGAGAGAGAAAATTTTTTTTGGAAGCAATAATCATCAATAATTTCAACAACAATGAGATGATACCGTCGTCACTAGAATATAGGAAGCAACAGGGAATATATTTAGAAGAGTTTTTCATGCCAACTACAGAGCCACATGTTGTCAATTACATACACATATCATGGGAAAGATTCATACACGAGTTTTATACAGAAGAAGCCCTAGCAGAGGAAGCAAAACAACATATGGAGAAAATCAACGCTAAATATTAGGCAGATGCAGATCATTGTAAGAGAAGAAAATTATTTATCCATGAAGCTACTATTCAAGCAAATATAAGCTCGAGGTCGAACTTCTTTCAACAATGGGAGACTGATGTAGGATGCTTAATCTGAGCTGGAGTCTATTTAGATTAGGAAATATAGATTAGAAAATAAATTCAATTTTAGAGTCAAATTAGATTAGGAAATAAAATTAATTTTGATTCATGATTTGTTTCATCTATTATAAGGAGTCTTTTTAGGATAGAATTTGACACTTCTTTTTTTTGTAATTCTAGCCTTACTAGGAGTCTTATTTGATACTTTCTATTTTTGTAATTCTAGTCTTACTATGAGTCTTATTTGTTTTTCTATTTAAGAAGAGTCATGTAACCCCAAAGAAGAATAACTTTTCATCAATAAATTTTCTCTTTTTTAATATTTTCTTCGTGGATTCGAATATCGTTCTTTGTGGATTCAGAGAACATCCTTGATGGATTCCGAGGCTACAACTTCCGCGTTGCGTCAACTTCTAACTAACTAACGTATAATAATCTAAATCTCAACTAATTTGGAACGAATGAAATCGTCCATGTTCTCATCTCATTTGAACCAAAATAACCTACAACAAATACAGAAGGCCGGTGGTCTCTTAATTTCCTTGTCGGTCCCTGTCAGTCCCCTTCTTCTTGTACAATTTTTCACGTATCTGACTGATCGAGGCGCCTCGGTGGTCCCTTTCCTTGCCAGTACTAATCTTTCTGTTCTTAGCGTTTTAAGGCCTCAACTGCCGTTGACGTGTTGTAAGGAGGAGTTGTGGGAAAATCTCTCTTTTTTGCTTTGTGATCGAACGGCCAAGCAATGTGTATTGATTTTGTAAAATGCTTGCAACGTTGAGCTTTGGGGTTATATATATATATATATATATATATATACTAATCTTTCTGTTCTTAGCGTTTTAAGGCCTCAACTGCCGTTGACGTGTTGTAAGGAGGAGTTGTGGGAAAATCTCTCTTTTTTGCTTTGTGATCGAACGGCCAAGCAATGTGTATTGATTTTGTAAAATGCTTGCAACGTTGAGCTTTGGGGTTATATATATATATATATATATACATGTAACTGCAGTTGTAGGCTTGTAGGCTACCAAACATCCACTAAAAGATTCAAAAGAAGGGCAAATCTCAAATGCTTATTCATTTCATTCAGCAAAACTTCTGTTTTATGTAGAAGTTTGGAAATGGCTTGCCTATACAAATGATATAACTGGAAAAAAAAATTATCTAACAGTTTTTCATCAATATGGATCAATTACCATGGTATGAAAATAAATAAATAAATGCTAAAGCCTAATTTGTTTTCTGTTCATTTAATTAAAAGTGCCAATATTAGCCATTGGCATGCTACTGCATTAATATAATAAAAAAATATTTCTAACGCATAGCAACTATTTTATGTAGGAACTAACTTCCCTCTATTAGGAGGTAGAATGCATAAGACAAATGGGAAATGAAATGTTATAACATATGTTGAAATGAAATGTTGTAGAATATGTTGCTGGCAGAGATTAAGCGGACATACCACACAAATATGCTTCCGTGAAGGATGAATATCAATAGAATGCACCATGCTAGGCATATTGCCTCGAGCCCTGCAGCATATGCACTCTCATAAACTTCTGTTGTACAAAAAAGAACAGAAAGAACAAAGATCTTTTTTGTGGTAATAGTAGTGATATGCAACACAACCTACAGCAGATTTTAAGACTAGAAGGAAAAAATTTCATTTTTCAGAGACATAAATAGAAAAATCTTTTAAAAATAAACATTTCTTATTTGAAGGTCAAGACATTTATGCTTCACAAATGTATGTGATAAAACAGAGCTATTAACATGGAATTTCCGCATACGCAGAAAAAAAAAAACTAGATATTTGAGGTTCTTGTCTCAAAAGATATAAGGCCTATAAATAATTACTTCGACACCAGCAGTCCCTTTTTTCTTCTTTTTTATTTTTTTCCCATACAACCATTGAAATCCCTATTCCAAAGATAATCTCGCACTGATGGAAAAGATTCAGCAGTATCTACAGGATTTGAGTGTCCACTCGATATACCCATTTGCGTATATCAACTATAAATGTGTCACTAGTAAACCCTGTAAAATAACAGATGCAGTGGCAAATAACCTTTCCTACAATTTTGTGAGACTACAAATGTGTCACTAGGAAACCCTGAAACATCACTGATGCAGTGGCAAATAACCTTTCCTACAATTTTACGAGCCACTAATTAATGAGAAGTTTTCCAGTCTCTCAATTACATGAAATCCTCATAAAATTTATGATAGAATACTATACTGATATAAAGGATGCTACATGCTCATGGTAAAGCCAAGTCAACAAATGAACATGGGTTTCATGTAACCAGTCATAACCTTACATCACATGTGTCAGTATTCACGAACACTTGTTAGTTTTATATGTTGGGACACATCAGCAACATAGATAAGCTTGTAAAGTTTAACAGGCATATTGTAACTCTTTGACAGCAAGATTTCTAATTTATCAGAGTCTGCGTTGACTGAGAAAGACACTAGTGTGAATGAAATGGACAGGGATTTCACATATTGACATAGGAACTAATGTTGGACTAGATGAACCTATAAAATCTAGACAACTGTTGAGGAAGAGGAAGGAACTGGCCATAAATGATTGTTGAGAAAGCTTGTGCGTCAAAAAATCAACACACAGAAGTTCAATGGCAAACAACACTATATACGGTGTTGTTCTTAATGCCTACTAACCATTCTCTAAGCCGTAGTCAACTCACTATTACTACATTTCTGCAGCAAGGAACATAGAAAACATTTGGATGAACAAAAAAAATCCAACAAGCCACTGCTAAACTTCAATCCCCATGAGCCTATTCAATTTAGAGTTACACGCTCTAAGCAGAAACCCATATTAATTGGAAAGGCTTTCAGTGCAACACTACTCTCAAAATGCCAACATGATTTCCATCCTTCCTGTTGCATGATATGCAATACAAGAATTCAAATTGCTTTCGCTAGCCCCTCCTAGATACGAAAATGTGCAAGCATAATTTCACTCACCAATTCCCTTTCAACTGAGACACGGCTCCACCGGGCCTTCTCTGATCCCACCACTGCAACCCAAACCCCAAGCCGCCCGTCGCAAACTCCACATTCGACCCCCACCGGACCGAACTATACCCGACCAACCCGTTACTATCTGCAACCCGCTTCCACTCCACCCTCCCCCCTTCTCCAACCCCAACCAAATTCACCCTCCCATCCATTCCCACACTCACACACTCCCCTCCCCCCTCCACAACGTCAATACTCGAAACCGAGCCCCGGTGTAAAGAGGTTTCAACCGTGGGGCCCGAATCGAACGACCCATCAACGGGGTCGAGGAATGCGAAGTGGAGGGTGCCGGAGAGGGTGGAGAAGACGATGGATTTGGGGGTGGGGGATTTGAGGGAGGTGATTCTGGAAGGGGAGGGGATTGAGGAGAGCAGATGGAGGTTTGGGGTTGGGGAGTCAGGGTTTGGGGTTGAGAGGGAGTGGAGTTCGATGGAGGAGGACGAGGCGGCTGCGGCTTCGGCGGTGGCGGGCGACGGCGATGAGGCGGGAGAAGGGGGAGATTGGGGAGAGGAAGCGGACGGAGTCGATAGATTTTGATTGGGGGAATTGGTGGAAGTTGGGGTTCGACATTTTTTAGGGTTTTAGGGGATTAGGGCTTTGGCTAGGGTTTATGACTAGCAAATTGGGGGGTTTTTGAGGAGGGGGACTTCCAACCGCAATGAGTCACACGCACAGGACTGGGACAAAATCCAAAGGTTTTATTTTCATAGTTTATTTCTTATCCTGCAAATTGTCATAATTAATGGTTAACGAACAGTCACTTCGTTAATTTTAACTATTTTCTAACAATCTGAATCAAATCGATTAAGTTTGACTATTGTCGATTTGTTGGTTTTTTAGGTGTAGATCGGTTGGGTTAAGGAATGAGCTGCTTTCATATCGTACATCTCCTATTTTTTCAATTTTGATACTTCAGCTCAGAATTGAAGCCAAGACCGTGTGTGGGAGTTATATTGAAATCTTCAAACTGTCCGGATTCATATATACATCTCCTAATTAAAACACCGGATTTGTCCAATTAATTAACTAATGAGCTGAATGTTTCAATCTTATAAGTTACGAGCAATGAGAAGAGAGTTGTGGACCGATTGGGGGAGGTCGTGACATTCCTAAAAGCGAAACTAAGACGACGATATTATGACAATATTCTAAGATCGAACCTTCGTAATACCATTCTTATTTATTCAGCGAACAATTTTTTGAAACAGACCCATTTCAAAAAAAAAATTTAAAACCGACCTTTTTTTTTATTTACCAAAACCGACCCGATTTTGTGATTAGCAGTTTAATTACCTTCCTAAATAGTCGGGGTTGTCAACCCCGACTATTTAGGAGGGTGTTAAACCCTAATTAGAAGTCTTAAACCCTAAAAATTAATGTCCTAATAGTCGGGGTTGTCAATCCCGACTGTTTAGGAAGGTAAAAGTCTTAAACCCTAAAAATTAATGTCCTAATAGTCGGGGTTGTCAATCCCGACTGTTTAGGAAGGTAATTAGACTGCTAATCACAAAATCGGATCGGTTTTGGTAAATAAAAAAAATGGTCGGTTTTAAAAAAAAATTGAAATGGGTCTGTTTCAAAAAAAATTCTTATTCAACACATTGCATTAATGGTGAGTACATGAGAATTCAACTCTTCCCTCCCTTTTTCCTCATATACAACCTCGCACACGCAACAAAACACCCAAAATTCACCGCGCCAACTCCGGCCATCAACCAATACACCTTATCCAACCTCGACTCGTTAGCATTATCCGCCATCCACCCGTCCAAAAACCGCCTAATCATCCCAATGCCCGCCGACGTGGCATAACTCCCGACCCCCGATTGAAGCGCGCTCACCGCCATCCCGGACCCCTTGAACGACTCCGGGAACTCCTGATAGAAGAACGCGAGCTGTCCCGGAAAATGCAGTGCCTCGCCGAACCCTACCAGCATAAAACACGGCACAAGCCAAAGAACGGAAATTGGTTGAGCATCGGTTTGGAGGTCGTGGAGCCGCTTTCGTTCGGTTAGGGCGCCGTAGACCATGGCGAAGGTTGTGATGAGAAATCCGAAGCCGATGCGGGCCAGGGGGGTTGGGTGTTGACCGGTGAGGAAGCGGTGGAGAGGGTAGAGGAGGTAATTGAGGAGGGGGATGGAGAGGGTGGCGGATAGGATGAGGAAGATGGAGATGGAGCCGATGGGGATAGTGAGTCTTGGGGTGAGATGGAGGTCCATGACGAGGGCTTGGAGGAAGGAGGCGGACATTTGGAGGCCGAGGTAGAAGCTGAGGATTATGCCAGTTGTGATTAGGGGGACAAGCCGGAGGAGGATGGTGAGTTCGTCTTCTTGTTTGACCTCTCGTGTCGTTGCTTCCTCTTGAGACCTGTAGAAAAATTATGCATACAAAATCACATCAGAACACTCTGCATATATTGAAAAATTAACTACTGTTAACCATAAGTGTATATATTCATGGTCTTGATTGATCATTTGAGCATATAATGGAATGAGCCAAACGCACGGGATATAATAAGTGTTAAGATATGAAAATGAATCAAAACCATCAACAAAATAATAAACTCTATGCTAAAAATTAGTGGTTTCTCCCCACTTATTGTGACAATGGAGAGAATTCAAATTTGTTGATCTCCTAATTGCCCCCACTAACCCTTGTCATGTATGGCCTAGAACATACTTCTCACGCACAAGATGTTCTGATATGATCAGTGCCTGTTGTACACGCACAGCTCTAACCCACATACGCTCACACAGATACACAAACATGCATACGCGCATTCAAGCACACGCACACACCCATACACATGGACATGCATACACGTATCCGCGCACACATCCGTGCACATATACATGCGCATGATGATGCATGCACACAAACACACCCATCTACCCATACAAATCAGTTTCAAAATAAAGATTATTCTCTCCAAAAACTTTTTTTAAATACTACAAAATCCCAGCTCATAAGATCATACCTTCAAAATGAAACCATACCTTGGACACTCAATCGTGGTTTGCGGTTCAACTGCTCCATCATCAACCTTACTGCAACACAGTAGCCTTTCAGATGACTCCGACGCCGCCTTTCGCTTCCCCGCCCGTGACAATATCTGTCGAAAAATATCGACAAGTGGATTCTCCTGCGGCTTAGGATGCCGATAATAACGATTCCCAAGGAGAAAGATGACGAAACCGACTGCTGCAATTACAGCGCACACGCCAAAGCCCAGGACCCAGCCCAAATTAGCCTGAATGTACACGATCCCGACGATGCCGATGATCGAAGAAATGTACATCGCGACGAGGTACCAGCTGAAGAAAGTGTCTCGGTCATTCTCGTCACCGAATTGGGCTGCGCCCATAGCTGCTCCGGTGAACCGGGTCCCGCCAAGGCCCACGGTCATTAGGGCTAAGGCCATGAAGAGTATTGCGAACTGCCATGTTGTTGGGCCCTGGCAGGGGCTATATGTACAGGACGGTGGCCTCAATGAGGGGAATATGGCAGTTAATGTAAATAGAAGCATGCCCTGCATTAACCACCGATGTTTAAGATTGTTTGACTATGCTTGAATCCAGAAATATGAGAAGAGTTTGACTTCACACCTACCAGAATTTTTTTTTTTTTTTGGCGTGTTGTCAGGATTCTAATCCCCTCCACTACAAAAAAAAAAGATAGTGCAGGGAATCTGATATACTATAGTAGATGGTTAATATTTTTTTATGCAAATTAGGAATGAGCGTAATTTATAAAGATACGATGAGTAATGGATTTCAAATAAATTATAATTATCTACTAAATAATTTAAATGTCTAAATGTTATATACTTAAAAAATTAACTGCATAATGTTTTGCATCTATTTTTCTAATCAGTAAATTCTCAAAGCATCTTACTCCGGTTACTCAAAAAGTTGACTGTCAAAAAATATTTGGGTATCTGTCCAGCCATATATTTTATGAGAAATTTGTTTTCAAAGGCAAAACAAAGGCTCAATATATTCTAGAATAGAAACTAACACCGTGGGTGGTAGATTAAAATATTGAACTAAATGTTTTTTTAAGAAAAATATTGTACTAAGCGTTTACAAACGAGCACATTTTTTTTGCTCCCGTCCTTTCTCGCGTACACGTAATCCCACGTGCTTTCTTCTCTCTGCTATCTCAAAAGAAAAATGACCATTGTAAAGCTCTATGTTATTTTTTTATATTGGATAAATTACGCCCCTATATTCAGTGTTTTGCAGTAAACTCTCAATAGCTTTCAAAATCACATAGAAAGAATTTTGAAGGATAATCTCAGCGAAAAAAAAAGACAACTACGTACGGATCTATAGGGCACAAGAAAGAGGAGAATGAATGACAAAAAAATAAAAGATTTCTAATTCTAAGGTTGAAAATATAAAAAAGTCATAAACGGATTTTTTTTTTTTTGAAAGGTAGGAGTTGCACGAGCCACGTTTGATATAATTGTCTTACCTTTGATGGTTTCCTGCAAAAATTATTAGGGGTTTTGTGTAATTTTGAAAGTGGTTGATGGTTTAGTACAAAATGCTAAAAAAAAGTCTTGGGGTTTAGTGTAATTCTGAAGGTTATCGGGGATTTACTACAAAACGCCATTCTTAGGAGTTTGGTGTACTTTTCCCTTTTATTTTGTCATTAACAAAAGTGCAGGGTCTCTTTTGGGAACTTGTGAAGAGAAATTGTGAGTTATTTACGTTTCTTACAGTATAATTATTACTATTCATCCTAATATTGATTGCTAAAAATTGTGAGTTATTAGGTATCTTGCTCTTTTGTTCGTGGTAATATAAAATTAGTATGAACTTTTTTATTATTATAATTATTACTATTGATCTCAAAATTAAGGGTACAACCCTTGAAGTTGGACATTTTGCACATAAGCCCTTTGCTTTTTTTTTTAGGTCACAAACCCCCTTTAATATTGGGTTTCTCACAAAACTCGTTGACTTTCAACTTTTTCTTAAAAGACGATGATAAATAGATTTTACTTAAAAGAAAAAATATCATCAATTGAATTTTTTTCATCTAAAGCGTATTTTAATTATTTGTCACGATAAAAAGAGTTGAAAGTTCGGGAGGGTTTTGTGAGCAACAAATTTTTGGGGCCCTCAACCTTCAGCTTCCAATGTTTTTCAAAATCCCTTTTTCTAAACGTGCCAACAACAATTTTTCACTAGTAAGAGCATCTCCAACAGCTTCCCCATCTTCTTGAAATACTCAATTTTGGAGAATATAGAGCTTTTTTTTGGTCCAACAGATTCCCCATCTCATTCCCCAAAATAGGGAAGGAGGAGAAAAAATAGGGAGCATTCCCCAAATCTGCAGTATTCTCCAAATTTTTGGGGAGAGCTTTATTATTGTAATAAATGCGATTTTTCAAAATGGGGAAGCTGTTGGAGTTGGAGCAAAAATAATTTGGAGAATATGACTTTTGTTTCTCCATTTTGGAGAAAATTTTGGGGAAGCTGTTGGAGATACTCTAAAAATATCTTCCTCATGATAACTTTTACCACCTTCTGTGAAACTCGAGTTAAAACCCTTTAGGGAGATTCATTGAAAATATTGAAAATATCTCTGAGAACCCCAAAACTTAAATAGGGAGGATTTTGTGGCATTTTGAATGTTAAGGAGGTCATCTCCTGAAACTCGATCAATAAAATAATTTAAAAACTAAAAACAAA